TAACTCCATACACTCCAAGTAAGTTTAGTCTACAATCATCAGCAGATTTCCTAGAATTGATCAAATCTACCCAGCCCGATGGAATCATCGCTTCCCTGGACGTTGAATCCCTTTTTACCAACGTCCCAGTCGACATAACCATAGGAATGATACTGGACAGAGTATACAGAGACGAGAGCACCCCCAAATTAGACATACCTGAGCCACACTTGAAAAGTCTTCTCGAAGCATGTACAAAGGAAGCCCCTTTCATCAGTCCACAAGGAGACATGTATTTACAAATAGACGGAGTAGCAATGGGCTCCCCCTTAGGAGTTTTATTTGCTAATTTTTATATGGGAACCATCGAAGATAGGGTCTTCAGTAGCAGACAAAAACCAACTGTATACTGCCGTTATGTAGATGACATATTCGTAATAGTAAAAGACTCAGATGAACTAATTGACCTAAAAAGACACCTAGAGAGAGAGTCAGTACTCCGATTTACACATGAAAATAGTGAAAATAACAGTCTGCCATTCTTGGATGTACTAATAACAAAAACAGGAACCTCTTTAAGCACCAACGTATATACCAAGCCCACCAACATAGGATTATGCCTGAACGGTAGAAGTGAGTGCCCCCAAAGATACAAAGCCAGTGTTCTCAATGCTTATATTCGTCGAGCGCTTACCCACTGCTCTGAATGGAGCAACGTGAGTAGAGAGTTTGAAAGAGTAACTCAGGTATTGGTGAACAACGGATATAGCAACGCGGAAATAAACGCTGCTATAAGAAGACACTTGGACCGTTGGTATAATTCAGAACCCAGAACAGAAACCACAACACCCCCAATAAAATTATATTACAAATCAACCATGCACAGTGAACATATAAAAGAGGAAAGAATAATGAAAGAAATAATCCGTAAAGGAGTAAAAAGCACTACTCCTAACCAAAACATAAACCTGATAATATTCTACAAAACCAAGAAGACTTCCGAACTCCTTATCAAAAACAGCCCGAAGCCGACGGAGAACCCTCTACAGCAGTCAAGCGTTGTATTCATGTACACTTGCCCCCACGAAGGATGTAACCTTCAATGTAAGTAAATAGGTATGACGTCGACCAAGCTGACGAGGCGTTTGACATGCCATCTTCAATCTGGTGCCCCTAGGAATCACATGAGACAAGCCCATGACATTACTCTAACAAGAGAAATGTTGAACAAGAATACTTGCATAATAGACAAAACCCAAGATTCAAGAAGATTACAAATTCTTGAGGCAATTCACATAAGAATAGAGCGACCTACCATGAACACCCAAATCACGGAACTATTTACTCTACCCACCATGAGAGTAAGGACAAGACAAGAACATATCGATGCCAACACAGAAGACAATGTCCAACATAACAGGCCAATTACACTGGATTAATCTTTGTGTTTAGATAGGAGATGCCTCGTATGGGTCAATAAGCCTTCTGCAGCCCCTATGTTTATCCCTTATGTATCCCCCCATGTTTTCACCTTCATTATATTATCACCTGACCTAATGCGGGTATAAAATCAACTAGTATTGTAAGATCTGTTCACTTGAGAATGAACCATGGAGGTTCGAAACGTCGTGCAAATTATACAAATAAGTGTAATACACTCTATAGTAAATCACTTCTTTTCTTCACCTTAAAAGTACGAAAATGAGTTTTGGAGAACTCCTATTTCAAATAAGCCCTGATGCTAAGAAAATAGTTAGAGGGATAGAAGCCCTAAACCAGAAAATAATAAATACAGAATATGCGGTCATATTCAATGAAACATGTTTGAAAGAAAACCTGCTGCCAGTATACACCAATATATATATATATATATATATATATATATATATATATATATATATATATATATATATATATATATATATACATATATATATATATGTCGTACCTAGTAGCCAGAACTCACTTCTCAGCCTACTATTCAAGGCCCGATTTGCCTAATAAGCCAAGTTTTCCTGAATTAATATATTTACTATAATTTTTTTCTTATGAAATGATAAAGCTACCCTTTTCACTATGTATGAGGTCAATTTTTTTTATTGGAGTTAAAATTAACGTAGATATATGACCGAACCTAACCAACCCTACCTAACCTAACCTAACCTATATATATATGTAAGGTTAGGTTAGGTAGCCAAAAAAAGCTAGGTTAGGTTAGGTTAGGTAGGTTAGGTCGACGAAAAAACATTAATTCATGAAAACTTGGCTTATTAGGCAAATCGGGCCTTGCATAGTTGGCTGAGAAGTGAGTTCTGGCTACTAGGTACGACATATATATATATATATATATATATATATATGTCGTACCTAGTAGCCAGAACTCACTTCTCAGCCTACTATGCAAGGCCCAATTTGCCTAATAAGCCAAGTTTTCATGAATTAATTGTTTTTCGACTACCTAACCTACCTAACCTAACCTAACCTAACTTTTTCCGCTACCTAACCTAACCTAACCTATCTTTATAGGTTAGGTTAGGTTAGGTAGGGTTGGTTAGGTTTGTTCATATATCTACGTTAGTTTAAACTCCAATAAAAAAAAATTGACCTCATACATAATGAAATGGTTAGTTTTATCATTTCATACGAAAAAAATTAGAGAAAATATATTAATTCAGGAAAACTTGGCTTATTAGGCAAATCGGGCCTTGCATAGTAGGCCGATAAGTGCGTTCTGGCTATTAGGTACGACATATATATATATATATATATATATATATATATATATATATATATATATATATATATATATACACACACACAGGTGAGTGCCAGTTATGCCCGCATCCCTCTATGGAGCAGGTGTGTAAAAACAGGTTTTTCTCAGAAGGGGTGGTCCCACCGTACCCTTCCTCGTATCTAATGGCCTTGGCTGAACCGTAACAGAGTTCCACACCCAGTGGAGCTGTGTGGGTCTTATATAAGAGTATTTAAGGAGTATTACATTATAAATCTCCCCAGGGGTTAAAAAAAACATCAAATAATTTATTAATGCTTTTATTAGGTAAAAACCATAAATAATGTATAACAAGTTAATTATGATAGTTAATAATTGTAGTTATGGCTTCCTCACTTTTATTCCTCACCCCCTCCACCTCCTCATCCTCATTTGAGTAGAATTCTGACGTCTCTCTGTCAGTGGTGAGTGGCGGAAGGTCTTGACCCCAAACTGCTCTCTTGGGGGTATGGGATTATCTTGAGGTTATCTTGAGATGATTTCGGGGCTTTTTTTTTTTTAGTGTCCCCGCGGCCCGGTCCTCGACCAGGCCTCCAACCACAGGAAGCAGCCCGTGACAGCTGACTAACACCTAGGTACCTATTTTACTGCTATGTAACAGGGGCATAGGGTGAAAGAAACTCTGCCCATTGTTTCTCGCTGGCGCCTGGGATCGAACCCAGGACCACAGGATCACAAGTCCAGCGTGCTGTCCGCTCGGCCGACCGGCTCCCTTGTTGCCGTTGTTGGGGTGAGTTGGTTGGTCACTTTTTGGCTGAGTTTCCTTCTCCCCCACATCTGAAGTGTTCTGGAAAGAGATGGGAGAAATAATTTATAGTGATTAAAGGTTTTTTATAGGATTATATCTTTTATTAGAAAAATATTCTATTTTCTCTAAGAACAACTAGTACATACCTCCCCCCTGCAGGAGAGGCCTTGTGTCCTCTACAGCAGGCATCGTCAATTAGGCTATGTAACAGCATCTTGTTTGGGGCAGACCCCCCACGTAGAATTACTACTCTACAAATGTGGACGGGTCCCAAGAACTGTACTGAAGAAAAATAAAGAGGCAAAAAATAGAGGATATACAAACTTTTTATTGGGATAAAATAAAAATAAAATAAGTCTTTACCAGGAAGTGAGGGTAATACTAACCAGGCCCTTCATGGACTTCAATCTTCCCTGTGAGTGTTTTTGGAGAGACACCTTCCATTTTATAGGAGGAGGAGATTTATGGTCTTCTGGGGAGATTGTGGGGTGAGAGGGGTTTTTATAGGGGGTAATCCCCTCCCCCCGTGTAAGGTAGGTTTCCTAGCTAACAAAAATATTCTCTACACCACCTATAAGAACCAACCCCAACACCTCTACAAAATGTCCTAACACAATGATGTTTCATAGGAAAATATCGTCTCGCATAAGCAAGGGCTCGTTTATCGTTTAATTTTAAAGTAACGCTGGAAAATACATTATGTAAGTAATGTACTGTTGAAGGCAAGCCCAGATGGCTTATTCTGTGAACAAACATGGAGCAATATAAGCCACAGGCAAGAGTAAAATCAGTCTGGAGTCTGTAGCACATTCCAAACACCTCTGTTATTTTGTTAGTTTTAATAAATCCCTTAAAATAATGACCGTAAGTAACCAGTGACATTGCATAACTATCGAAAAAAAACATTCGATGTTTAACTTTATCAACATAAATACCTATCCAATGTCCCATAGTTTTTCTACTGTGTGATGGTAAAATATTAGTTATGAGGACAATAGGTTTTCTTGATGAGGTATTTAACTGTTCTATCTCGTCTGCATTATAACAACCTAGGTAGAGCACTCGATCCCCTAGATTATTTTTTAAATTAATATTTAAATTAATATTTAAGCCCGCACGTTGCATAGAACAGTTCTCTGTCCGTCGATGGATAGTACCCCGATCGTTTCCCCAAACAGTAAAACCAGTCTGTTATATGCAACGCCACCACCAAATTCAAGCTCCATACGCAAGTTGCCAGATTTCTCCACAGGGAGAGAATCCTTTGTTTGAATGGTGCTTAAGTCAAAGGCGAATATTGATCTTCCCTTATTAAAAGTGTCATAGCCCAGTAGTGAAAATAAGGAACATTACTTATATTTTATTTTATTAAACTACAAAAAGGAAACTATATTGTTTGTTTGTGTGTTTTAAAGAACTACAATAGGGGAAAGATTCCCTCAACAAATCACCTTTTTAAAGAACAATGATTAACCTCAGCTGCTGCTACCGCTGCTGCTGCTGCTGCTGTTGCTACCGCTGGAGCTGCTGCCACTGTTGGTGCTGCTGCTGCTGCTTCTGTCGCTACCGCTGGAGCTGCTGCCGCTGTTGGTGGTGGTGGTGCTGCTGCTGCTACTGCTGCTGTTACCGCTGGTGGTGCTGCCACCTCTTCTTTCCTGGATGTCATTACAGCTTACGTAGTTTTTTTCAGAGGGGAGGATAACAGGAATATTTCCTGTGACTCCCCATCGAGGATGGTGTCGATACGATGATTCGACTGGGAATGGAAGTCGAGGGTGGTTTCGATCCGCCTTTTCGCTGTGGTTGATGTTGTGGGTGGAGGTGAGGCGATGGTGGTGGTGGTGTGTGATGAGTATTCCTGCAGATGTCTTTTCTTCTTGGGGGTAGCTGGTGGTGCTGGTGGTGTAGAACGAGAGAGCTTCCTGGGGTGGTAGCACCCTCCCCCACCACCGTGTCGAGGGTGATAGTTTTACTATCAGCTTCACCTCTGGGGTCGTCGATCGGTAGGGGTACCATTGATGGGGTAACAGCAGCGGGGCGTTTGAGGATAACAAGTTCCTTGTTATGCTTGGACAGTTCGTGATGTAGTGAGATCAACATGGCTCCGATGTCCTTGTGCCAGTTGTCCATACCATCACGGGAAGCCCCTAACCCATGGGGCACCACCAACCGAAACATGGTTGGGGTTCTCACCATTAGAGAGCCCACCTTTGTTAGGGCCATCTTGAGCCAGAAGGTCCTGTTCTTGGTGGTATCCAGGGTGACGTTAGTGACGTAGTGGGTGTCGGAGGAAGTCTGCACTTGCTCCTGTGCTATTGGGTTGGACTGGAAGGGTGCGCCTGCACCAAATGCGGAAATTAGGCCCACTAGGGTGGGCCTAAAGAAGAGTGCAGATTCTTTGACTAGGTCTTGTCTGAAGAGGGGTATGGGGCTATCCTCACTTCAATGTCCCCTGGGGTAGCCCGAGAACGAATTATGGCTCTATTGACATTAGCCAGACCAATATGTTCCACACGAGCCTAACTGTAACTTTTCCATATTACGAAGGCTAGTCCATAGGGACGCACAATGGCAGCAGGGAGGTCGTAGACCATGATATCACCGACCCCAAAGGCGTGGGTGTCAGTGATGTCGTCCGTGATGGTCTTGATAGTCGACAATGACATGACGAATGACGGCTGTGAGGAGCGTGTCGACAACTATAGTGACCAGGAGCGATGGTGGGGGCCTTTAAATACACCTGTGCCCCACCTGGAGGGAGAGGAATGTGGGGGTGTGGGGTAGAGCACACCTTCCTCACCTTATAAGTCCATAGACACTCCGTCCAGACTCGAAGGCTGTAATCATGTCTCGATGTTGGAAGGTTAATTTTTCCATCTGCTATATCACTGTCTGGATTTCCTGAGATGAATACTCTTCATAACTTTTCACCATTTCGCAAATGACTTAAAACCCCGTTCTGGAGGAGCGCTCAACACAAGACGGTCATAACAATCCCACAATGCATATATCAATCTACATTTGTGCTCGACATACTTGTAGTATCGTTGTGTAGCAACCAACTTCTTTAATAGGGGGGATTTTTCTTCTGCTGGAGGGGTAGGAGGTGTAGAAGCTTGCTCCATGGTGGAAACACAACTGAATATAATGGCATTTAAGATGTGGTTCATATAGGTCTTCAATACGGTTCCCAATGGGGTCTCCTATGGATACCCCTCCCTCCTTTTAACTGCGATCTGACTCGATAATTACGTATGAAGGTCGGGTCTATGCCAGCCACCTTCAGTATAATCTTACATCCTCCTTGTCAAGTGTCCTAAATTGTCCTTTAGTAAAGACTAAAGTTTTAATTATATCTAAAATATTTAAATTTTGCACAGGCTTAAATAAATTTCCACGGCTATCCCATATTACATGTTGGCTGTTTTGTTCAAACATGTTCAATAATGTTTTGACATGTGGAATTTTCTCAATTTTAAAACTCACATTTATTAAGTTGTCCAGACTTGGGGTTTGGGGTGTGATGGTGGCTTTATGAGGAGTGCGCCCAGCAACAACTACCCGCATTTTGGCTGGTAGAATGGAATTTTCCCTTTTTTTATGTTTTTTTTTTTTTGTATTTTTAAAGGCGATGGTCGCACCGCCCAGCTCGCGTTTTTTTGTTTAAAGGGCGGCGCCGCGGCGGGGTCAATGACATTTAATGGTTGTCTGACCAGCCCCACCCGTCTGGTGGGGTTATGAGGATCACAGGAGCTATCGTGGCATCACCGCCCACAAGCTATTGTTGTCAGGCGAGTGGGTGGAGTGTCCACTTCCCCCACTCCCCCATCATCACCGCTAAAGTCACAGCCGAGGTGGTTACAGCTACCACCAACATTATCACCTGAATTGCACCATTTGCTTTCGTTTTTTAAAGAGAAGGACTTACTTTCACCATCACCCCCGGTGGAAGAGGGCTGACCCACCACATTAAGAGGTGATGGTGTGTTCTTGTTTTTATTAAATAAATATTTTTCGGCGATGAGTCGTGGTACCAAACAATATTCTTTCACAATTTTTTCTCTCGTTACTTATTTACATAATTACTTTATTAGGGAGGAAATTAACGATACAGCAAAAGGTAACGAGTTGCCAATATAGCCCCACCTCGCCTAGAGGTTAGAATGTTCTTCTTTTTGTACAGCAGAGTTTTCTTATGTGCTACAGAACGAATGTCATTCTGATACCTCTGTAAGCCATTAATTATCTGCGATTGAACTGGGATATTTCGTTTCAGAAAATTGGCAAAAATTTCATAAATTGATTCAATTTCCTGTCGTTTTATAGCCTTGATTAGTTTATTCCGCTTCTTGGGTGATAAATTGTTTAATAAAAATAACAGTTGATGGAGTTTCTTTATAAGAGAGTCCTCATGAACTGTCATTTTTTGATAAATTTGATGATATCTTGAGCTTTAATCCCGCTATTGCTAGAATCTGGGTACCCTCTCCACTTGACGAAATATTCTCTGTGTCCTTTCGATGTTTTCCTAGACTGTAATATCGTTATGGGAAAATAGTCTGGAAGGGATGTTGGAATCAATTCTTGCTCATAAAACATGCCACTGACCAGCTCGTTGTTTAAATCTTTGATTTTATAGGTCGGGATTGGTTGTGTTTTGTCGATATGTGACACTTGAAATATTTCCTCTGTATTTTGGAGCCAAAAGCCTTTGTGAAATCTATTCCTACGCTTTGCTGCCCAAGCTGCAGCTGTGGACTGATGGGAGTTATGGGGGAGTCATTGTTTAAATACATGACCTTAAACTGTCTACGTATATCTTCAATGTTTTGTAACTTATGAATGGCATGTGGAGTGTTTTTTAGTATTCTGTGGAATGTGTGGTTGTAAACGTCTACAACTTTTGGGAGGATGTGGATGTATTTTAATGAATTAGCCTGGGTCATATAATGATACAGTTTATGTTTTAAAGTTTTGATGGCACGTTCCACTATGCTAGATTTCATTTCTGAAAATACACTATATAATTTAATATTTTTCTTATTAAAATAAATTTGAACTGACTTGTTGTAAAATTCTGGGCCTCAGTCTTACACCGAGAAACTGAGGAGTTTCCTCTAACATCTTCTTTAGAGCGACTAACACATCACTCGAATTTTTTGTTTTTAAAGTTTGAGTCTGCATTAAGCGAGAATAAACATCTTCACAACTCAAAATATATTTAACACCATTATTGTATTTTTGTAAACTATAAAAGTCCCCTAGATCATGGGCAATTATGGTACGGGGCTTAGGAGCTAATATTTTCTGTCAGGGGAACCTAACTAAATTTCTCCTATGTAAGGTATAAGATCGCACTCCACGAAGAAATTCCCCCACATCTGCAGTACTGATGCTGGTGTCTTTAAGTCTGGTGGCCTTATACAATTTTTGAATTGATCCTGTGAAACCACCCAAGCTAGAAATGTCATTATAGATATTGGTAAGAATTGTCCATTTCTGCGTCGTTAGAGACATTTTCTTTGTTTACATTTGATAAAGAATTTCACACTGGTCTTCATTGGCGATGCTCGTTTGTAGTTGTAATGCCTCAGAAACCGTCAGATCGACCAATAAATAACCATACTTGCTCTGGGATATTACCCGACGGTATATTTCATCGAAATTATTAATAGTTTTTCGTCCATATAACTGTCCACTTAAAATTTCAAGTTGAGTTATGTCTCTCTGCTTCATAAATATATAATGACTACAATTCAGAGTTATTGTCCTGGCATATTTCCCCTACGGAAACAAATTTTGACTAATTAGAATTACGGAAATACTACCGTGTCTCTCTCTCGGGTGAAGATATTGGCTATAATTGGACTCTGTATGGCTTCCAGGTATAAGTCTTCAATTATATACAAAACTGATTCATTTGAAAAAGGATCTTTATACTCTAACTGGTTATTCAGCCCTTGGGAGAGTGTAACCTTGTTTTGCAGAATGGGAATGTTTGAAAGAGGATGTTCTGTATTATTTGCAGTTGACAGTATAATTTTTGAGAATTTTTCATGGTATTTAACACAAATTTCCAACTAGAGTAGTTTTCCCAGAATTGCTGAATCCGGCTACTAACTCAGTACATAGGCAAGACAACAACGTCTCCTTCCAGGCTATTAACAATGCATAAACAACAGGGAACATATAATCTCTTCTCACAACCACACCATCACCAGAGAAATCTTAACAAAAAACAAAGAAATCATCGATAGATACAGCGATAGCAGGAGGCTCGATAGCATCAGCGAGGCACTACACATCAAAAAGTCAACACCAGCAATCAATAGCCAATTAATGCACAACTATATTCTACCCACTTCAAGTCCCCAAACCAATATAAAAGCAGCAAGAGGAGGTATGGGCCAATAGGCGTTCTGCATTTACTTCCATTCTTATGTTTTCATTCTTAATTGTTTCGTGTTTGTCACCTCACCCAAAACTTTTGTGCTATATCACCTCACCCAAAACTAGTATAAGTCTGACGAAACTGCATGTGTAAACTAAGTCTTTGAAAATGTAATAAGAAATTACGAAACACGTTCAGGCGTCAGACAATAAATAAAAATGAATTTTGGAGTATTGATATTTCAATTGCCATCGACAGTGAAGAAAAACATAAGAAATATTGAGAAAATTCGTGTTAAAATTATTAATCTTACCTTGTCGGTCATATTCAACAACATATGTTTACAAGAAAGACTGCTACCGAAATATGTTAATATATGTATGTATATATAATGTAAATATAACATAGACAATTACAATATATAAGGGGTGGTAGAAGAAGACAATATGTGGAACCCCCTATATTTATATATGTATATTTACTCAATTATTGCTGTTTTATCTTTGTATCTCAGTTTCTGTTTACAATTCCAGTCTGCTGAATCCGGTATATACCGTGAGATGGCCATGGCTGAGAAGACTGGCCGCCTCATATACTCAGCACACGCTGAACATGCCAAGTTAATCAACACGGTGGTGAGGCGTGGGGACCATGTCATCATCATAATCAACACCAGTCTGAAGTCACACATTGCTCAAGACTTCACAAAAACAGGTTTAACAAATGAAATAATTAATCATGTAATGTAACTATGTACATATTCGCATTTCACAAACACAGCTATATATACTCATTCACATATATCAAACTTACACACACGTGAGAACCCCACTCCCCAACCCCCATTCATATTCACAGATGCATTCACCATATACACACTGACATACATTGTTAAATATGACCGAAAAAGTAAGATTAACAATTCTAACACGAATTTTCTCAATGTTTCTTATAATTCTTTTTACTGTCGATGGTAATTGAAAAATCAATTCTCCAAAATTCATTTTTATTTCTAGTCTGACGCGATGCTTGAACGCGTTTTGTAATAACGTATTACATTTTTTGATGTGTAGTGCCTTGCAGATGTCAAGCCGCCTGCTATCGCTGCATCTATCGATGAATTCTGTTACAGCGATAGCAGGCGGCTTGACATCTGCGAGGCACTACACATCAAAAAGTCAACACCAGCAATCAACAGCCAATTAATGCACAACTATATTCTACCCACTTCAAGATTCCATACCAATATAGAAGCATCAAGAGGAAGTATAGGCCAATAGACCCTTTGCAGTTACTTTCAATCTTCCCTTTGACTTATCCAATTTATACCCATTGCACTGTGTTCTGTCTTGTGTTAGTCAAAAGTTTGTTCACCTCATCCAAATCTGTTTCAACATATCACCTCACCCAAATGCGAGTATATAAGACAAGCTGTTTAGCGTTAGAATTAGTAAAACTCTGTTAAGTGTTTTCAGGCTACAGTTGTGTGTGTGTAAACTAAAGTCTTTGAAAATGTAATATGTTCTTACGAAACGCGTTCAAGCGTCGTATCAGACTAGAAATAAAAATGAATTTTGGTGAATTGATTTTTGAATTACCACCGATAGTAAAAAGAAATATTGAGAAAATTCGTGTTAAAATTATTAATCTTACTTTTTCGGTCAAATATAACAACATAGTTTACAGGAAAGACTGCTACCAAAATACACTGACATACCTGAATAATACAGAAGGTTACAGAAAGGTGTACTTAGTCCGAGACCATAACATGAATGAAGATGAACTAACGAGGAAGATAGAACAATGCAGTGAAGAAGCAACAAAGGGAGAGAGAGAGAGAGAGAGAGAGAGAGAGAGAGAGAGAGAGAGAGAGAGAGAGAGAGAGAGAGAGAGAGAGAGAGAGAGAGAGAGAGAGAGAGAGAGAGAGAGAGAGAGAGAGAGAGAGAGAGAGAGAGAGAGAGGGGGGGGAGAGAGAGAGAGAGAGAGAGAGAGAGAGAGAGAGAGAGAGAGAGAGAGAGAGAGTGAGAGAGAGAGTGAGAGCAAGAGGGAGAGCGAGAGAGAGAGGGAGGAGGGGGGAGGGATTAGTGAAGGGTAATCATCGATAGCTAATTTCCAGCCAGCAAGTCTCCTGCCTTCTTTTGCCACAATAACAACCACCACTTAACATTTTTTCCACTTGACGTGAAATCGACCAACCATTTCCATAACCTTTACATCTGAGACAGTGAATTTTCCCACTCATAGGCTGATGGCTGCCGATGTAGAGAATGGAGTGTCAATGAAGGTTTACCCGCTGGCTCACATTACTATAACCACTCCACCTTTGATTGCTTGTAATGACTGATTAGTCCTGAACCCAATCATGTAGCTTTCATTTGCATGATTACTTGTCATGCCCGAAACGCTTTGCGTAATAGTGGCTTTAGGCATTGTATGTACTAGCTCTATCTATAAATCTTTCAATTTGTGTAAAATCTCTTGTATGTATGTACCTTACCTGAATAATCATTTATTTATTTACTTATATATTATTTTATTTGTACGATATGTTGTATGTCCCCCGTCATGTTCTGGAAGTTAGCAGAGTGTAAATTGGTGATAGTTGGCTATTGATGCGTTGCTTGGTTTGCTTTATGTATCCCCTCGCCCATGTCCAGTCTTCTATTTTAACCGTATGTTCCGATTATTTTGGTGTTGTTTGTGGGTATATCTCTGGTAATGTTCAGGTTATACATAGAGACTATATGTTCTTTAATAGGTCCTTGCTGCTTGTGCATTGTTAGGCATCTTGAAAGGGATGTTATCTTGTTCATATATTGAATTCTTTGGGGCTGACATTCCCCAAGTGGGCATGAAAAGGCATGGCCTACATTAGTCTCTTTCAACGAGCTTTGTTTGGTCTCAGAAAAGTTCTTCATGAGGAAGTTGGCAGTCTTCTTGCTCTTATAGTGTACTAGCTGTACCTGGCCATGCGTTTCTGTTGCTCAGCAATGCATGCACGTTGCTAAGCCACAACAACCCTCCCCTGTTCCCCCGTCCTCTTCACCATTCCCTCCTCCCCCGTCCTCTCAACAATTCCCCACTCCCCCTCGTCCTCCCCACCATTCCCCCCTCCCCTATCCCCCTCGTTCTTCCCACCATCTCCCACTACCCCGTCCCCTCGTCCTTCCCACCATTTCCAACTCCCTCGTCCCCTCGTCCTCCCCACTCCTCCGTGCCCTCGTTCTCCTCACCATTTCCCCCTCCCCTGTCCTCTTGTCCTCCTCACCATCCCCCACTCCTCTGTCCCCTTGTCCTCTCCTACCATTCTCCACTCTCCCGTTCTTTTATCCCCACCATCCCCCACTCCCCCATCCCCTCATTGTCCCCACCATTCCCCACTCCCTCATCCAATGTGTTCCCAATGTGTACTGGATAGATATCGTGAAATTAAGTATAGAACACTGGGGAAAATCATTAAGTGCCTATGATCATGTATAGATTAGGATCCATGTCAAGGTGTCAGCAAAAGTAGGCTACACTAGGAAAGAATTTGTCAAAGATTTTTATTTAGTGAATTCACAAACTCCTGGCCTATGTGGTAAGGACATCGTGGACAAGGTGGGAATGTTCTTGGCTGGCCTGAATGAGTTGTCTACAGTGAAAAAATAAATATTGCTGAAGATAAGATGGAAAAATATGCAGTGGATGCAATTAAACCAATTAATAGCATGGTGGCAAAAATCCACCAGAAAAGTGGGGCTTCATCTAAATTTTTCAAAATAAGAACAGACATGACAGGTGATTCGATGAAATATCTGTGCCCAAGAAGATCGCCGAGTGTTGTCGGGAATAGGGTTAAGGATCAAATAACTTCCGATTCTTTTGAACAGTCACCTGTGGCCTTGTGGATAAAGTACAGAATATGTTAGGGTGCTTGGAGCTCTGACTGCCTGGGTTAGAATCCTTCAGGAGTGTTGAGTTTTCTGTTGCATATTATTGCATATTAACTTGGCGACCATTCAAGCTTGATTGCATATACACAATTATATATATATATGTGTGTGTCGTACCTAGTAGCCAGAACTCACTTCTCAGCCTACTATTCAAGGCCCGATTTGCCTAATAAGCCAAGTTTTCCTGAATTAATATATTTACTATAATTTTTTTCTTATGAAATGATAAAGCAACCCTTTTCTCTATGTATGAGGTCAATTTTTTTTATTGGAGTTAAAATTAACGTAGATATATGACCGAACGTAACCAACCCTACCTAACCTAACCTAACCTATATTTATAGGTAAGGTTAGGTTAGGTAGCCAAAAAAAGCTAGGTTAGGTTAGGTTAGGTAGGTTAGGTAGACGAAAAAACATTAATTCATGAAAACTTGGCTTATTAGGCAAATCGGGCCTTGAATAGTAGGCTGAGAAGTGCGTTCTGGCTATTACGTACGACATGTGTGTATATACATATATATATATATATATATATATATATATATATATATATATATATATATATATATATATATATATATATACATATATATATATATATATATATATATATATATATATATATATATATATATATATATATATATATATATATATATAGGTTAGGTAGGGTTTGTTAGGTTCGGTCATATATCTAGGTTAATTTTAACTCCAATAAAAAAAAATTGAGTTCATACATAATGAAATGGGTAGCTTTATCATTTCATAAGAAAAAAATTAGAGAAAATATATTATTTCAGGAAAACTTGGCTTATTAGGCAAATCGGGCCTTGCATAGTAGGCCGAGAAGTGCGTTCTGGCTACTAGGTACGACATATATATATATATATATATATATATATTTAGTCCAGGGTGAACTATCGCAACCAAAAGCAATCAAACAAGTGGACTGGCAGTGTGGAATCGTCTGAACTGCAGTGAGGGCCAACAAGTGCGCCCTGAGGGGCTCCCTTGGTTATAGTGGTAGGGGTGGGGGTGGGGGATGGGGTGTTGTTGTGCGGTCTGTCGAGGGGGGTGACCAGTGTGTAAGTGTTTATGAAAATATCCCTGAAAAATAGATACCTCGGCTCTCGGAAAACAGGTATCGTGTTTTAAGTGCATCGAGTACACAGTGAACCAGATTATATTGCGCAGTGATTTATCACGAAATTATACAAACGTGTTAGTGTCACCCCTCTGACCCCCCCCCCCTCCCCATACCCGCTAGTGTGTACCGTCACCCAACCCACGAGTCACCCCCCTCCCTACTCCCATCCCAACCGCGACCGCCACCTCCCTGTGTCCACCCACTCACGCTACGTCCGCCCAACGCCCACCCAGCGTCCGCCCAGCGCCCTCTCAGAGCCCGCCCAGCGCTCGCCGATGTCGCAGGTCACGACTGACAGCCAGGCATCTCTCAGGCAAGAGGAGTCATCAAGCGACGACAGGTACGGCACATGTCAAGTGTATGACAAGGTGTGGAGACTCAAGCGCAACGGAGATGTGCGCAAACATGCTCACAATGGAACCGATTGTCTGGGTAAGTGGCGCCCTCCCAAAGAGAATATCAATCAAGGCTCCACTCCAGCAGTCAGGGAAAACACCTCCAACTGCTTCATTTCGACTGAGAATCTACTAGAAGCCATGAAAGCAACATCGGTTGGAACCTTGCAGCACATCCCCAAAGCTGACCGGCCCCAAGCAGCAGCTATCAAACTATCCAGCCTCTTGAAAAAGATC